GCAACCCTTAGTTGCCTTTTCCTTTTGTGTTCCCAATCCAGGCAGTAGATTTAAAAGCCCTTTGGATGCCTTGAAGGAAGTAGATGATGTCAGCATGCTTGGCTTGGGGTACAACCACCTAATCAAGGACTCCCAGTGGGAGCTGCAGGAAGCAATCTTCTGTAGCACTTACTGGGAGTATCTGGAGGCTGAGGGTGTGATCAAGGAGGAGATCTCCAGGTGAATGGGAGCACCGACCAGGATTTCAGTCCATGAGACATCAACACAGGGCACTAATCAAGTGTAGATAGAAGCCTCTGTCTTAGCTTTGCCTCCTTCATCCCAAGGCTTCAGGGCAGCAGGCTAGAGCCATTCCAGGTCTTGTCTCAATGCTGCCTACTTACCAAAGCCTGTCTTTTACATACATTTCTTCCTTTTTTTCAGACGTACTACTTTTCATTGTCACCTTCCTAGCCAGATCCTACAGGTGGGACCTGAAATGACAGTACCGCCAGGTAATCCAGATGGGCAAAAAGCTATTAATCTGTGAAGCAATCTGTGAATCCAGGAGCTCCAATTAGAGCTCAGTGGGTCTGGCTTGAATTGACAGTATAAATTCCATCTCCAAGGACATAATCCTGGGTAAAACTGTCAGCTCTAAGACTTATAATTCAGTTACCAGCATTGAGTAAAAACCACTTATCTCCATGGTTGAAAACCCATCTCCTCCCTTTCTCCCCCAAAAAACCAAAATAAGGAGGCACATAAGCAGATAAAAATAACAAACAAAGTGAGAGGTTGTTCTGGTTTAGTTTCTACTTGAGCTGAGTTTCTATCAGGGGAACAGTGAGAGCTCTAATGAGAGCTTTCTAATGGTGTTTTGGTGTCCTGGATTGTTCCTTTCTTTGTCCTCAGTCTCCTCTCTTTGTTGTCCCCTTCTCTGTGCTAGATGTTCCAGCTGGCATTGGTGTGCACTGGGAACCAGTGCGCACCAATGCCAGCACCTCGGGCCGAGGCTGCAGTTTAGCTGATGCATCGCGTTCATGCTGTCACGAGATGGCACTGTGACATCTCTTTTCGGGTCCTTTTCCAGGCTCAAAGGAATTTTTGCAGGAACATGGAGCTAGATCCGTGCCAGTATTTTGCGTCTTCTTTTCACTGTGCCTTAGTTACCCAATTTGAAACGGAACAGGTGGGTGCCTGTATGACCTTACAGCACATATTACCTGGCCCTGTCTGATTTCTTGTCTCCAGGGTGAATCCTGTGGTGTTGTCTGGCTAGTTAAGTGCAGAAAAGTTTAATCCTATGCTTCCAGCCACCAGTTTTGTCTCTCCTTCTCATAAAGCTTGAGAATCTTGTCTGCCTTACACCCGAAAAATTAGGGAGGCATGACCTCCAGGGATATCTTGCTCCCTGGGTACTGAGAGCTGAAGACAGAGCAGAGCAAATACAACTGCAGTGAGACCTGTGTCTACAGATGCTACAGGTAACAAGAAATTCAGAGGTCATCGCTGTCAAGAGCAGTAAACTTGAGTGTTGATTGGCGTGAGGGAATCGCTGAGGCTTTTTGGACACAAGAAGTCTGAACTGCTTAATTTGAAGTGAGCCCCAGGGACCCTTAGGGGAATTATCTGAGCACTGGGAGAATGTCAGGGAGTGTTTTTGCTTTAACCACCCTTTATTTTCCCTCATTAGGCAGCAGAGCCTAGTGGGGCTGGAGGAGCCTGGGTACTGGAGTCTGCTGCAAGCACAAGTAGCTGCCAGGGACAAGGAGAGAGAGAAAGTGAAGGGACAGAAGAAGCAGTAGCCAGCTTTGCATCATGAGGGCCAGGCTCTGCTCTATCACAGTCCTGCAAACCCATGATCCAGCAGTGATATTTTGACAGTAACTATTCAAATCATCTCCCTCCCAGAGACCTGGAGCATCAGAGTAATATGGCATGTTACAGTAATACAATGGTCCTTAATAAAGCCTTTTTTCCATTAAAAGTCTCTTGCTCTTCATAGGACTGGCATTTTATCAGACTCTGATGTTCTGTCCTTATGTTGCTGGGGCTTACCAGTGAGTCTCATCTTCTGCTCTAACCCAGTTGGGCAGGCAGCACCATCCTTGTGCTAAACAAGGGACCTTTCAGAATAGGCAGCAAATTGGCCATGAAGGTGTCATCCCCCAGCAGCAGTGATACTGCAGAGTGTGACAGGCCTCACACAGGCTGTTCTGCAGTCTAGTTGTTTCTTTTGACTTCAAAGGAGGCAGTTTTGGGATAAGACTGCTTAGGAATTGCAACCTGGAAATGTTCAGATAAGCTGTCTGGGTTAAGGTCAGGCTAGAACTGGTGTTAGAGCCCAGAATTGCTGTCACTAAGGAGCAGGACAGAAGCTGAGGGGTTCAGAAAAGTCAGGGCTGTACTGAGCCAAACACAGGCCAGGAGCATGGCCAGCACAATGGTCAGAGGCCATAAAAAGCTGATGCCTCCTACAGGCATCACAGGACAAAGAACTAGTAGAGGCAAAGCAAGGCCAAACATCCATGTACTTATTTCTTACTCCAGAAGTGTATTGTTAGCAGCTTGCCCCATACACTTGAGAGATGGGGAAAAAAAAGTATACAGGTCCCTGGTCAGTCTTCCACTCGTCAGTATGTTCAGATCTGTAGTCCTGTGGGAGACTGGCAGCATCTTGATGTTAGCTACAGAGTTTGGTTGCTCAGCTGGGGGCTGAGAGCCTGCCTGCATTTTGCACGGGGTATCTTTGCTGCTCTTCAGGCAGTCAGGGGTCCTCTGGAACCTGAAGGTCTTTAGAGGGGATGACTCAAAATATCCATTCTCAGGCATAGCAAGGGTATGCTTTCTTTTGCAGAAACCCCATGGGAAAGCCTCAGCCTTTTTGCAACTGATTGTGCTTCCAGGACTGCCTAGACCACAAGGAATCTGACAAATCTGCCAGCAACCACTCCAATCTGTGTGCATGGGGGAGTTGTTCCTTTTTCTAGG